TCTGAGTCACAGCTAGAGCTCTCCAATCAGCAGAGAGTTTTGCTGCTGGCGGAGCTATAGGTCTGACTCAGCAGAGGGTATGTCGGAGCTCTGCAGAGAGACCAATGCTAAAAGTTCAGTTGGGCTTTAAAAGGAAGAAAGCAATGGCAGCAACCGTGACTGGAATGAGGCCTTCAGTGTGCAGTTATACTTTTCTTCTTTAACCTCCCGCGGCCTGTTCACTGTACATTTAATTTTTTCTTTATTACAGGTATTTATATAGCGCCGACAATTTACGCAGCGCTCTACATTCTGCATATTCACATCAGTCCCTACCCTCAAGGAGCTTACAATCTAAGGTCCCTATCTGACATGCATACATACATACATAGAGGACCAACTTAGACAGGAGCCAGTTAACCTACCAGCATGTCTTTGGAGTGTGGGAGGAAACCAGAGTACCTGGAGGAAACCCACGCAAGCACAGGGAGAACATGCAAACTCCTTGCAGATAGTGACCTGGCCGGGTTTTGAACCGGGAACCCCCAGTGCTGCAAGATATGGCCAGTCCCCAGCCACACAGTTCCGGAAGGACGTACTTGTATGTCCTCCCATGGCCACTTATGGGTGTGTGCACCTCTCATGGCCACTTATGGGTGTGTGCACAGAAGCCACTGCTCCTGGTGAAAAATAGCAGAAAATACAATTTGCAATAATTTCTAACCCTTTCACCCCCCCCTTTCCAGCTCCATTCCATCTCTGCTGTGATGTGTTATAACAATGGATGCGATGAAATTACGGCCACTTTGGGCAAAATGCCATCTTTCAGCCGAAATGGCAGTGCATGCCTGGATTCTCTCCTCCCGGCTGTGTCTGCTCTGACACAGCGCAGCATCCAGTGGGGAGGAGAGAAATGCTTAGGAGGCAGAGCGCGTTGTAAGCAGTCTGTCATAGGAGGCTGAGCACTCCTCCCACGCTCAGCCTCCTGTGACAAATCAGGATGGAGAGTTGTGCAGAGACAGCTGTCACAGGAGACCAAGTCGGCAATGGGGGGGGAGTAGTCAGCAGTCAAAATAGACCAAGCGTTCCTCCCGCACAGCTTCCTGTGACAGCCGATCCAGGATGGAGAGCGGGTACAGTGATCGCTGACTGTTTGTAAATAATTGGACATAGTATGAGTTACTATATACCAGTTATGAATGAATAGGAAGTGATCTACATCACTTCCTGTTCATTCATGATTATGTACATAGTAACTCATACTATGTCCACAATTTATGAATGGACAGGAACACTCGGTATAGAGGATTCCGGTTCATTTATAACAGGGGCTGCAGAAAAAGATATAGGACTCTGTGTCCTTAATCTCTTTTTCTATTTTAAAAGGAAAATATCAGCCGTCTGTTTAGACCCCTAATATTTCCCCGAAGCCCCCAACAGTAAAGTTAAAAAATAAAAATATTTAATAAAAAATAAATTGAAATAATAAAATTAAAATATAAAAAAATGAAGTTTAGAAAAAAAAAAAATGTAAAAAAAAGTTTAAAAAAAAGGTATAAAAACAAAATTAGTTTTAGGTAGCGGCCTGCGGTTTATTTTTTTCGGTTTCGAAATTTCACTTCATTGCACCTCTAATTTGAACCGTTCCACCTTCCTTATCCTGCACATCTGTACATTAACCCTTTCACCATCCTCCCACTGTATGTGACCTATGCATTAACCCCTTCACCTCCGCCTCACTCTGTGTATGACCTGTACATGTTTCAACCCCCTCAATATCGGCACGTTTTTCATTTCCAAAAAATGCCGGTATTGAAGCGGTTAATTTGCAAGAACAGAAAAACACAAAGTCGGGATTTAAAATACTATACAGACTTTTATTTGAAAGATGCTTCATTCAAAAGACTCAACAAGTATATCACTTTGGTCCTGCACATCTCATTTATTTGATCCACCATCCGATGTGTTTTGATTAAACTTTTTAAAGTGCATTCTTAACCTAAGTACAGCAGAGGAAGCCATTACAAGGAAGGGGTGGGGGGGTGGGGAGGTGTTACAAAAGAAAACGCCGGTGACGCTCATGTCAAAAAAACGATCCGAATCCAACCATTGGCTTCCACGGAGATACATACAACAGAAACTAAAATCTGGGCTCCATCAGTTCTCATAATTTACATTTCTGATACGCAAGGCCTAACGTCACTATAGCAAACGCATTAGGTTAAACATTGGATCTGCGACAAGATGGCCGCCTCCGTATCGCATAGGCCGCGTATACACTTGAGAGAAGCCCCTGTGCATTGATTGGTAATTCCAAAAATATAACAAAAAAATACATATTTCAAGGTATTTAATCATACAGTAATATTAAAAAAAAATCTATTTAAAAGAATATATAATAGCTAATGAAAATATAGAGTTACAAATGCTATACTGGTATGAAACGAAGAATGTCAAATTCCCCTTTAATTGGGTAAGGACCTGGATCAGAAAAGAACAAACTCTAGTAGCAGTTCAAAATGGCCGCTAACCCACCAACGGCAGTCACAGCTTCCTCCTTCTTCCAAGCTAACAATTGGCCCCTTCATCAAACTGTCTTCTATCTGTGCAATACAGGAGTGGGGTTAAGGATCAGCCTTATTGGCTGCTACATGATGCAATGATTGCGAGACGGTCTTCGCTTTCTTTAATAGTAGCATCTACTCACTGAAAGGAATGATTCCCTTTTGTTTGGTCTCTGCTAAATCAAATGCTTTCACTTCTAAAGGAAACCTGTACTGAGAGAATACATGTCTGGCTGTCATGCTGATCCATTGGAGTCACTGACCTGGGGCACATATGCACATAAGGAGTATGACTTGCTTCTGGGTGCAAGACCCTTGCAGCTCAGCGACTCAAAGTACTGAAACTATAGAGAGTCAGGCAGCTAGCATTTTCAGAAGCAGGTCAGCAGTGGCACCCCTCGCATTCATAGCAGACCTGTGCTGTGTGTTACCACCCTACTAGCACCCCGACCTTCTTGACACATTATATACAGATGCAATGCAAGCGACGATGAGGTCATTTTGACGCCGATAATTTTGCGCTTTGCAAACAATTCTAAAACCTAAAATGAGCAAATTTCTGATTGATTCCTCACCGTCCCTTGGACGGCCAGCATTAGGGGTAAGGATAAGGGTTAGGTTTAGGGTTTATAGGTGAGCGCCGGGGGTTAGGTGTCAGCAAGTGAGCGCAACCTTTAACAAATTAGATGCAATCAAGTCATTTGTCCTGTGCGGTAAGCGATTAACATATTCAATTAAAGGAATTCATTTTGACGTTTTTGTCTGCCGAACACCTACGCCAAAAACAGGTGTCCATTTTCAGAAGATGATATGAACGTACAGGAAATAGGTAGCATTCCTAAATGTACTGCTGCTACAGGCTCCCATGGCCACCAGTCAGCTGGCCAAACAATGGACAAAGTCTGACATTTCACAGAAGGAGTTTAGGTAAAGGAGATTCAGGTAGAGCAAGCAAGTCAATGGGTCCTACTGAATTGTGACCCTCAGCAGAGAACACATGACCGGCCACCATGGGGATCTGGAGCAGCGCTCTCTGTTGGATAGGGCCCCTTTATTATCTGTATGTGGGTTGCCAGGAGGCAGAGATACGTACCCTTGGGGGAAAAAAAAAACAGTGCAGGAATACCTGAAAGGCAAGAGTGGATGGAATAATGTAAAACCCAGGAGCTAACAGGCCTCCATGAGCCTGCTTAAGCCACCAGAGCTTTGTGTGTATTGATGACATCACTGGCAACTGCGGAATGGCAAGCTGAACCCAACAATGGACATTCCCAGACCCCTTTATTGAAAAGGAACTGAGATCTGAAATAACCTGCTGCTCTCAAATTATGTTAAAAAAGCAGGTTTTAGGAATGTCATCCTTAGCCTGACAACATGCAGGGGTCAGGAATCCCAACAGACGTATGGGTTACCGATTTGAGCAGTTGCTAGTTTTTGCCCAAGGCCCATACGTTATCTAAACCACCTTCAGTTCCTGCTTCAGACCCCTTTTAAAAAATGGGTCCACTTTTACCTGATGGTCCCGAACATACACAGTAACCATTGAGTTGCAAACTGGCCTTTGGGATTACAGCAGGCAAAACTATTTTAGCTGGATGTTGACTCTTCTACCAAACACAAGTCAAGACAGACACAGGTAAGCAGCTACTATGGCTTATTACTGCAGGTGGTTCTCCTTTAATATGTCCACTTCTCAAGACCAAAGACAACTATATATCAAGGACACAAGTGTGGTATATGATGTATGTACAATGTACGAGTGGACAAATTAATATGGAATTCAAGAGCCAGTCTGTCCAAACCAATAGCCAAGGCCATTCACAACAACTACGGAAAACCTCAAAAGTTAGGCGCCAGCTGTTATTTTTAAGGGCCCATGGCTACCTGCCTCCTGGGATTTGTCCAGCCCTGGCATAATGCGACATAAAAAAAGTAGATGAAGCACTACAAAACATTGTTAATAAAACTACAACTGTCCAGGAGTTACCAGATAACTCTTTCTGTCCTCACAATGCCAACTTTACCTTGAGATGGGACAATCTATATGAAGACAAGTCACAGCCCTCACCTTGCAATATAAAAGACACAGTAGAGGCTCTATAATGGACGCGGAATTCCCAGCAAGTTTTTGCCATTCCCGGACAACGTGGTTAAATAGAAGCTTACAGTAACCCTAAAACAGACTATGTGTGTCAATTATTGCAGTTACCGCCTCAAGCTGCACTCATATACTGTACATACAAACGTTGCGAGAGATCAAAACGCAAAAAAAAAGGTACACGTGCGCCCACATGAATATACTTCACTCACACCAAAAAATATCCATCTGTATTGACACTGTATGAAAAAAAAAGACCAGGCTGTTAGCTGGACCCAATGCAAAAATAACCTTTTTTTTAATCTTGAAAACTATAAACCAAATTGCCATTGGCCTTTTCAAAAGAGAATTTTCATACTTTACCTCTTATAAATGCACTAATCATTATTAATAAGATCAAATCAAAAGATACCATTGTTGGCCTAAAAACGAAAACCTAAAACTTACAGGGAAAAAAATGCACAGAAAGTAGCCACTGCCCAATTTTTGCCCACAGAAGGGCAGCTGAAGGTGAGCTGGAACATCAGACCAAAAAGTCAACAGACAAGACATAGGGTGGGTTACAGAAGAATACAGTTAGGCAACAACAAAAGTTTGTATTCCGTGTGTTGACTTGGGCCTAGTCCAGAGTCTCCAAGAGCACTGTGGGTAGTTTGTCCTTTGTAATTCTAGAATAATTCAACCTGCTCTGAGCTGGACAAGTGGAATGGTTTCCCTTACATCTATCGCTACAAAGCTGAGGAACACAATGGAATCAACTAAAGGGATGGATCCAGTATTGGTCCTGGCCACTCATTTCCCACTCAGATTGGTGCTTGCTAGAAGAAAATGTGATTGCGTCGTCAACAAAAGGTGCCTCAAAGTCCATCTTTTGTCAAATGTGTTTTGTATACACACAATGGTTATTTCTGAAGAGTGTAGGCTCAAGGTCAATGTTGGGCTACCAAACTGGGGGATCCAAAGTACATAGTCTCTGTTGCCCTCCATTCCTCTTTGTAACCTATGGGTTGTCCTGGAGAATCATATGGGTACATTATTCTAGGTCTCTAGTTTTGTCCATGAAATCTTAAGATTTGTTGAAAGCGGACAACACGGCCCATATCATTTCTGTGGCATTGGGTTTGTTGCCTTCTACATCCGGATCCATATCTAGAAGATCTTTCGATCTGTTCATAGCCATGTCATATTTCTCATCAGGCAGGGTGGAATAGGCGTTTTCCAGGACATCGGAGGCATGGGCCAGTATCAGCAATCCCAGGGTCCGTTTGTCAATGCGGTGTGGGTCATTAACCCATTTTTCAAGTACACATTCTTGCAGTTTCTTCACCAGGCGCTGCTTCTCTGTGGTGTTGGTGACGGGATGGGTGGTCATGTCAAAGAGTAGAAAATTTTGCTTCTCTGTGGTCAGGATTCCTTTCTCCACCAAGCTCTTGGCAATGCGTTCACGCACATTGCGCAGTTGAAACTGAAGCTTGAATGGATTCCATGTTTCACCTAACAAGAAGAGAGAGAAAAAAGAAAAAAAATTAGGCTATGTTTTGGTTCAACTAGTTGACTGTGTTGCCCTCTAATATATTGAAAACAAGCCAGGAGAAAGATTGGCAAATACTAGCCATGAGTAAGCTAAGCAACAGCACTCAATGCCAAGTGGCAGCTGCAAAACCAACAAAATCCTGGGATGTACCATGATATACAAATAGCAACAGGGCATGTGCATAGGCTAGCAGCTAAATTAACAGAAGATCTCAATTATAAGGGATGGCTAAAAAAAATCAGGCTGGTTTAGCTTGGAAAAAACTTTGAGGTGGTACAATAAATATGTAATATTATGCATGGTCAACATAACCCAGGGCTGGGCAAATTCCAGGAGCCAGGTATGCGTCTTAAAAATTACAGCTGGTGCTCAACCTTTTAGTTTCTCTAGTTGTGGTCAATGGGGCTGGCTCCTAAAAATAATCCTGCTGGCTCCTGGAATGGACAGACTCCATATTAATATGTCCACCCCAGCTACATGAAACCTTACATTGTCAAACCCTGTCTCACAGCCATGTCTCACAGCCATGAAATCAGATATGCTGCACTTCCAGAAAGCAGAATTAGGGGTCACCTTAAAGTGAACTGGGCTTTGCCGATATAGGAATTAAACCTTTTTTTGCCGACTCCTGGGTTGGACAGACTGGCTCTTGAATTCTATAATGATGTGTCCATCCCTGGCATAAACAATTTGTATAGTTATTGGAATAATATGCTCATTTGCAAAAGGCAAAAAGACATAAAATGCATGTGGAGGGGAAGAAATATTAACATCAGTATAGAAAGGAGCCTGGCAGGTAAAATGGAAAAATGCAATAATGGAATTTAAAATGGGGATGATCATCCTACAATTAATGCCATCATCAGCTATACATGCTAAAGATAGTATGGGTTGTGGGGTCAGAAAGAGATCCCCTAGAAGCAAAAAAATAAATGATTGAAAATGGTTTATAACTGCACTGTATTTGAAAATGACATTCTAGCCATGTTTAAAATTCTATGCTGCAAGGTGCTCAAACAGTTAAAAAACTATACATTGCTCATCAGATCATAAAAATAAGCATCAGCAGCATCTGAAGATGGTCATCATCCTTACCAGTAAGTAATTCTATCCAGCTCTGCACAGTTTCTGCGGGATCTGTGGCTTTAATGTGCTTCAGAGTCTCATCCAATAAAACATCACCTGTTGGGGCATCAGACTTCAAAAAAACCTGTGTGAAGGACAGGAATGTAAACAAGAGATGAAACCCAAACCCATCATCCTCATATACAGGTGTTTAAATGACCTATGAAATGTACTGACTTGACTATATACTGACAGATGTTACAATACAAGTATAACATTTCATATATAGGTGGTTTCTGAGGAGCCAAGAGACCTGCTGCCCACTTAGATCTCTGAACAAGGTCCAGGAACAAGATCTTTCACAATTCCCGGATCTGCTCCCACCTACCTTGGAGTTTTGGGTGTTCATGTCCTTCTTTAGCTGTTCTTAATCCTCCTGCTACATTCTTCATAATAAATAAAAATCCCAACAACTAGAACCGAACATCTGTGAATCTCAAGCCTAGGAACGAACTCGAGACCAGAAATTTCACAACTTGAGACCAAGCACTTAATCATTTGCACAATCTGAAATATTAGTTATGGGTAAACGGCTCTCAACTGTCCCCATATTTGGACCCAAATCCTTCTTTCTACAATTTCCATTTGTGTGATGTGCGCATTTGTATAAATAAATCTCTTGTCTGAACAGTATTGCAAAGCAGGCTGCTGTAAACAAAGCAAGTAGAGTCCTGTCTTGTATTAAGAAGGGAATATATTGCAGGGACAAGTCTATAATTTTGCCATTTTACAGATCACTGGTTCGGCCACATCTGGAGTACGCGGTCCAGTTTTGGTCACCAGTACTCAGAAAAGATGTCCTTGAGCTGGAAAAAGTCCAGCGGAGGCCAACCAAACTCATTAAGGGGTTGGAGGACCAGAGCTATGAGACAAGGCTGTTAAAATTAAATATGTTCTCTTTGGAAGTGAGATTAAGGGGGGGGCATGATTTACTTCTATAAAATGTTCAATGGTGACAGCAACATTATTAACCAACTCTTTACGGTTAACCTCATAACAAAGACTAGAGGCCACCACCTAAAATTGGTGGGGAAAGAATTACAGCACAAGGGGCGCAAGGGGTTCTTCTCAGTTACAGCGGTTAGGGTCTGGAACTCTCTGCCGCAGGAAGTGATTTCAGCTAAGAGTGTGAAAACATTCAAGAAACTCTTGGACGAGTTCCTTGGAGACCCTAACATACAGGGGTACAGGTACTGCTAAGAGCAAAATCATACATGGACTAATACACACGCACACACCAGGAGAACCATAAATGCATCCACGCAATAGGTTGGACTTGATGGACTTATGTCTTTATTCAACCTCAAATACTATGTAACTATGCAAGTTCTCATAGAGGGACCTCATAAGATTTCCATGTATTTATCTTCATGTCCTTTGCAAATGTTCACCTGGGAGGCCTGTACAGGCAGTCACCTTGTAGCCCCTGCACATTAGTTGGGCATTTTGTTACATGACTAATTAATTTGGCTACATGCAGGGCTGGATAAGTCCCAGGTGCCAGGTAGCCAATGTTCCTTACAAATGGCAGCTGCCGCCTCACTTTTGAGGGCTTTTCCTAGTTGGTGTAAATGGAGTTGGCTCTTAAAAATATCCTGCTGGCTCCTGGATTAGACAGACCGATATTAAAATTTGTCCACCCATGGCTACATGAAACCTTACATTGTCAAAACCCTGCTGCTGAGTGTTGCAATACTTTCTGGAGGTGCACACTGCTGCACCTCCAGAAAGTAGAATTAGGGGTCACCTTAAAGTGATCTGGGCTTTGCCTTTACAGGAAAAAGCAGCTAGTTAATTTAATCACCCCCTCAGTTGTTGTTGTCCCTGACCACATACAGCACAAACTCACCTTTGCTTCATTTGGCTGCTGAGAGGAGAAGCAAGTCCCTAAAGTCGGAGTGTAGACAGGGTAATCGACGCTTCCTTTGCGACAGTGCTGGTGCTTGGTGATTGGCCCAGCACCGTCACATGAAGCGAGTCTCATGCACAGAAGTACAGAGTATTTTCTTTGCATCCCTCAGTGAAAAATTGTCATTGGCTCAAAGGAAAGTAGCGTATGTGCTACAAAAAGAATTAAGTAAATTGGTTCTGTGCCCTGCATAGACAAAGCAAAGGTTTGCCTTCTCAACTGTCCAACCTTACATAGTATCTCCCGTCTCCTTTGTGTACAAAAGGACAGAATCACATAACATAACCTATATTTTACCTTCATTACAGGGCTCTGACACTGCTATTCACTCACAGAAGTAGAGAGATTATGTATGAGGTCAGACAGCAAATGTCAGACCTAAAGGGACCACTGACCCAGACTCTTAAGCTGAAGAGTCAAAGTCAGTAAAGCGAAGTAAGGAAGCAAATATAATTGCTAAGCAACCATGAATAGTTTATAATTAAACATAGAGAGAGAGAGAGAG